AGACATTTTTATAGTTATAACGGATGGTTATTCAGTAAATTGTTTTTTATAGTTTATCACGGATAGTTATTTAATAAAATTGTTTTGTTGTAGTTATAATGGATAGTTTTTCAGCGAAGCTGTTTGTTATAGTTATAATGGATAATTATTCAGTAAAATTGTTTTTTATAGTTATAACGGATAATTATTCAATAAAATTGTTTTTTATAGTTATAACGGATAATTATTCAGTAAAATTGTTTTTTATAGTTATAACGGATAATTATTCAGTAAAATTATTATTTTTATATAGAAATTTTTTAAAATTTTTATACAAAAGGATACTTTTACATGAAATTATCAATTTCATTTCCTTTTTTTTTTTGAAAACGAAAATTTGATATTATTATAGCAAATTTTGTCTTCAAAGAATAGATTATTAATAACTTATAAGAATAAAAAAAACAATTTAGCAAAGTATTAAATTGTATGACATTAATCCAATGATATTTAAATTTGAAAAATTGAGTAATTTTAATCGTTTTAAAGAATTCTTTAAGTAATCTTTTTATAATGCTTAATTAGAATTTATTCTTTTTTGCTTTTTTTTTTTTTTGCATTATTATTTCAGTTGCTAAGATATAATTTTGGTTAATTATATTCAGATAAGATGAATGTTTTTGAAAATTTTAAATAATTAAATAAGCATAATAAATGCTATCTTCTAGTGATTTCTTAAACTTCTAATGATAAAGGGATGAATTGAAATGGAAATCTGTCAACATTGAATAAACAGAAGGTCAATGGTTCAATCGATTCAAATGACCCAAATTATTTTAATTATGATTTGATGATTGTGAAATGGAAACAAGGGAAAAATAAATTTTTATTCAATACATTTCAGATCCCTTTTTTTTTTCTCCCTCCTCCCCCCCTAAAATATTGTGCCACTCAAACTTTAGCATTTAGAAAATGAATCATTCATTTGTACAATTGAATCGAATAATTGAATAATTAATTAATCGATTAATCAATCAATTAGTCATAAAATGGTTGAAAATATTGAAATTAAATTTTGCATAAAATATCATGAAATCATTCCATTTCATTCCTTTCACATTTCCATCTTTCCTATCTATCGGATAGATTTGATGGCACTGATATCGGCTAACCTTGAACTATTTACAAGGTAATTAATTTTTTTTTTTGCTAAATTTAATATCACTGCTTGATAAGTTTGAACTAAAAAAAAAAAAAAGGAAAAACGAAAAGAACATGTTAAAGTACAAAGTGAAACTCATAAAAATAAAACTTTAACGATTCATAAAATGCTCCATTCCTCTTTTATTTTTATTAATTTTTTTTTTTTTTTTGAAATTTAAGTACTGAAAATGGAAAAAAAATTAAGAGAAAAAAACTCAATTAATTTCAAAAAAATTTAAGTTTGGAAAATAAAAATGAACCGATAAATTTTATTTTATTTTGAATTTAAAACATTTCAAAAAAAAAACAATGAAAGTATGGAAGTTTTCAAATAATCAAAAATGAAACTGAAATGATATGCTTGAAAAATCATCAATTCCTTTGGAATATGTTATGCTTCAAATTAAAATTTGTTGAATTTCATTTAATTTATTGAATTTTATTTGTTGAATAATTATTTATTTTATGAAGAAAAATTAACAGATTTAATGAAATTTAAATTTTTGCAAAGAAAAAAATAAGCAATATATTGCTATAATTTATTAAATTTTCCATTAAATTTCATTTCGTTCTCGTTTTTATTTATTATCATAAAATAATACTAATGATAATATGATAATGATATCGATGTTATGATAGTTAATGTTATTCGTTCACTAATATTGATAAAATTATCTTTTTCCATTATTGTACATCTACTTTCACCATTCCATTGATACTTGTAATTTTCATGTAGCCTATATTTCATTTCGAAATTTTTAATTTTAAATTTAATTTTAATTATTTGATTTACAAAATTTCATTCTAACGTTGTAACATTTATAAATTAAAATGAAAAAATATCATCCGTTAATTATGATACCACTGTAAAATAATAATAATATTTTTAAGTCCTTTTTTTTTGCATATTTTTTCCTATTACTTTTGTATATTTTCCGATATTTTATAAAATTAAATTTTCAATTTTTTTTTTTTATGTTTGCTATAATTGGAAGATATGTAAATAAAACTATTTTTGTTAATTTCTTATCACATATTATTTAGATTTCAGTCCATCTGTTCTTTCAATATTTGATGATATCATTGATTTAAAAATTGTTGTTATAAGCTAGCAAGTAGCACTTGAATTTTCAATCCAGCATTTTGCGAAGAAGCGGGAGAGCGGGGGAGAGGATTTATTTGGGACGAGAAAGGAGCAATTGTAATAATTGTTAAAATAATGCAAAACATTTGTAGATTTAATATTTCAACAATAAAATATTACAATTTCTTTTAATAATGAAATTAGCTAAATTAGTTGCAAATTTTAATTACCACAAAATATTGATTATCTCATATAATTATCTTAATTAGCTCAAAATTTTCTTTGATTTTAACAAATACAAAAATTTACAAAAAAAAAATTCAAAACTCCTAATTTTGAAATTTAATTTCTCCAGTTTAATCTATAAAATTTTATTCAAATTTTTCTCTGATTTTAATAAATACAAAAATGTGTAAAAGAAAAGATTTAAAATCCTTAATTTTGAAATTGAATTTTTCTGATTTAAAAAATTTTATCCAGATTTTTTTTTAATTTTAATAAATACGAAAATTTGCAGAAAAAAAGATTTAAAATTTTTAATTTTGAAATTGAATTTTCCCAGTTTAATTTTAAAAATTTTATCCAAATTTTTCTTTAATTTTAATAAATACAAAAGTTTACAGAAAAAAAGATTTAAACTTTTTAATTTTGAAATTAAATTTTTCTAATTTAATTTATAAAATTCTATTCAAATTTTTTTTTTTAAAAACATTTTATAGAGTGAAAATCAATCACAAAATCGTTGTATTACAACTGTACAAGCAACTGCTGATTGTACACTTAAAAATCGTCCAGCATTACGACTTGATTCGAGACTTGTTTGCAAATATGAAGTATTAGCTGTAATCGGGAAAGGTTCATTTTCACAGGTGACTACTTTTTTTTTTTCTTACTTATAATAAATGAATGAATCATTTGGAAATTAATAATTCTTTTTAATATTATTCACTTCATCGTTCCTCAAATTATGTTATTGGCTTAAGTATGTTAAATAAGGCTGAAATTTTACGACAAATATAACAACAAATATTTAATCATTAATTGAAATACAAAAATTATTCTATTCTAATATGAAATTATACTAAAATGATCATTCATTTTTACAGGTCCTTCGGGTACAACATCGTCTTACACATAAATATTATGCGGTGAAATTAGTTTCATCTGATTGTGGTACTGTAAATAATGAATTATCGATATTAAGTCGTGTACAGCATCCATTTGTGATTAGACTTGAAGAAGTATGCTTTGTTTCTTTTTTACTCTCCAATTTATTTGTTTCTTATTTTTTTGTTTTTATCTTTTTTGAACGAAATTAACATTTGCATTGAAAGGACAATAACCGATTCAAATTGAGGCAATAAAATCTGAAATGATATATTCGGTGATTTTTGAAATTTGAAACGATAGAGTTGGAGAAGATTTCGAAATTTGAAACGATATATTCAGTAATCTCGAGATGTTAAAACAATATATCCGGAAATGATCACGAAATCTGAAACAATTTATCCGGCTAAGATTTTGAAGTCTGAAACGATATATCCGGAAAAGATCTTGAAACCTAAAATAATGTAACCGGGAAAAAAAATCTGAAATATCAACATGAAAGCATGCAATTGTATCACTTAATTTTATAAAACAAGATTAATTTTTAATTTCTTGGATTAAAATTAATTTCTTAATTTTATGAATTAAAAATTAATTAATTAATGGCTTTTTTTTTTGTAGGTATTTAAATCTTCATCACGATTATTTATTGTAATGGAGATGGCAAGTGGCGGTGAAATGTATAATCGTGTAGTAGCTAAGGGAAGATATTCCGAAATTGAAGCACGACAAGCACTTCGAATGCTTCTAAATGGTTTAGCATATTTGCATAGCATTCGGGTGACACATCGTGATTTAAAACCGGAAAATTTATTGTACAGTGATACGACACCAGATGCACGACTTCTTATTACTGATTTTGGTTTAGCATATCAAGCGCAAACATCAGAGGAAAAAATGACTGAAACTTGTGGTACACCAGAATATATTGCACCAGAAGTTTGTTTACTTCTTTTCTTTTTTTTTTTAATTTAAAAAATTTTAAATTAATTTCTAAAAAAAATTTTTTTTTTTAAAAAATTAATTTAAAGGTTCTTCTTCGTTCTGCATACACTGAAAAAGTTGATATGTGGGCTGTTGGAGTTATTGCATATATTTTAATGTCCGGTATAATGCCATTTGATGATGATTGTCGATCTCGTTTGTATACGCAAATTATTACAGCTAATTATATTTATTATCCTCAGGTATAATTTCTTCAAATAAAACTTCCAATTGATTGATGTATTATTTAATAGTTTTTATTAAATGGAAATGTTTACTTCAGTTTGCAATTAATTAAAATTAACAAATAAGAAGAGCAGGTATTATGAAATGATGAAAAAAAATCATTGAAGTTATCACCGTATCATTGAAATTATCATTATATCATTGAAGTTATCATCATATCGTTGAAATTATCATTATGTCATTGAAATTATTATTGTCATTAAAGTTATCATTATATCATTGAAATTATTATTGTCATTAAAGTTATCATTATATCATTGAAATTATCAGTATATCATTGAAATTATCATTATATCATTGAAGTTATCATCATATCATTGAAATTATTATTGTCATTAAAGTTATCATTATATCATTAAAGTTATTATTGTCATTATAATTATCATCATATCATTGAAATTGTCATTATATCATTGAAGTTATTGTTGTCATTGAAGTTATCACCATATCATTGATGTTATCATTATATCATTGAAATTATTATTGTCATTGAAATTATTATTATATAACTGAATTTACCATTATGTTATTGAAATTATCATTATATTGAAATTGAATTTATCATTGAAACATTGAATAATTTAAACAAAGTGGATAAAAAAAAAAAGTAGTTTCATTTTTCAATAATTAAAAAAAAATTAGCATAAACATGCATTATTAATTATGATTACAGTTCTGGTCCGGTTCGGAATTAGCAAAAGATTTCGTAGATGCATTGCTAGAAACGGATCCGGATGCACGATTAAGTGCAACTGATGCTGTAAAACATGAATGGTTCATGGGTAATCGAAGTAAACTGAAAGTTATTATTAAAACACGACCGGCTTCCGATTTTACAACAATTCAAAGGGTGAGTAGAAGTGAAAGAGAGAGAGAGAGAGAGAGAGGAGGAGAAGAAAGGAAGGAGAGAGAGATATTTTATTTTTCGTGAACTTAAACTTTAAC